CAAAAGTTTATGTTGTTATGAACCAAGCCTCAGAACGTAGACCACCCCCTAACTGTTTTGAGGAAAATAATTGCTGACCCATGCCTTAATTTTCCTGAGGAAGTTTTGGAAGTTTTTTTCTACTATAATCATGCAGTCTCTAGTGCATTTGTATTTGAGAGTTGTAAAACAAGGTAAAGTTTACCTAATGTGTCAAACGATTTTCGTTTGCTCCTGTCAAACCATCGTTTGTCAAAGCTATCACTTCATTAGTGGTTGTTGATGCGATTGCGGAAATACGTAGATCAATAGTTTTCAAATGGTATAGCATACATGGGTATAGGGGATCTATTAATTAAATTGGAAAAAAAAGGCCTGGCAATTTAGGGCTAAAAGGGTTAAACGGCTCCCTCCAGTCCCTTCCCCCGTGCCACGTAACAAGAGCGATCTTTATGAAATATTACTATTCCAGTGCGTTCAGCGTCGTTGATTATAAGACGACAGAAAGATTCTGGGGTTTCTGGTTAAGCACTAAATCCTTACTAGACCTTGGCTTTCTACTGGCCAAGTTCTTGAAGAACTTTTAAATCGAACTAACAATAAATCATTTTTAATAGTGTGGATGTAAGTAAGGGTTCCAGATCTGCCTCGGCGTCTATAATCTTCACTGTAGTCGAGGGTGCCCCACCTGAAGTATGGGTAGATCGAGCATTCTTGAAGGTCAAGGCAAGTGACAGAGTTCAACTGGTTGGATTTTACAAAACCAGCAATCAGCCTAACAAGGTGGAGTGGGCCTCCTCACAAGAACAAGGTGAATCCATAGCCATTTTTATCATCTAAATTACAGAGCTTTTGTCCCAAAACGTTTGTCAGTTAGGCTTCAAAAAGTCAGGATTGCTGGTGCATCGAAGCATTACACATACTCCTTGTAATAACTCCGTACAATTAACGCTGGGAGGGCTAATATCCAGGTTATTATACTTCGCCACAGTAAATCCTTTTTCGGGTCACGTGGTACGTCGTCGAAATGAGGTAACCGTGAGGTCCTGAGAGAACGCCGTAGAGGAATTAGAAAAGACTGTGGCCATGCTGGCATTAGAAGAAATGATGCCGGCCTGTTTTGTACGTTGTCCAGAGGCGTGAAGTTTTCCTAGATTGATATGGCTTTCACTTTAGAGATGAGATAATGGCTTGCGATTCCATCTACTCTGAATCGACGACTACCTTAATTAAGTAAATCAAGGCTTCCCACATTCTAAGAAGCACCCAAAACTGGCATACACATTTGAGGCTTCAAAACTCAGCGCATTTCCCACTTTTCCGTTGTTGCCAGTCGTTTCTTAATGTTTCTTTTAATTTCTTTAAATAGGTTTCTCCTTTGTGGACTTAACGAGCTTTAACATACTCACAGAGTATCATGCCAACGAGGAGTCATTTGTTCAAATGATTCTTCCCGCGAAGCTTTTGAGGGCTGGGTCCAAGTATCGATTCACGTTAACAGTTGATGACGGAAGTAAGGAGGGTGTGGCATCTATTGTGGTTGAAGTAAGAACTGGGCCTACTTCCGGCTCGTTCTCTGTTGAACCGACTTCCGTGAAAGCGCTGGATACCGTCACTATGACAGGTGAGTTCCCGGTACTTGTGGTATAACGACAAGGGTCTCTTGACAAGGATGAGAGCATTAAGATTGGTTGAGTAACTGTGAAGCAAAAAAATGATTTTGATCAAATACGATAGTTTTGGAACAGGTTTGATTATTTATCAGCGGAAAAAAAGCCTTCTCTTCTATATAGTGCATAAGAAAGGGGGCACTTCTAAAAGAGCTAAATAAACAGTTAACGCGTCCGGCCCTATACGGGGATGTTTTGGCAGGTGACTTGACTCGCCCAAGTGCACCTGACAAACAGATTCAATTCCCGCCATATTCACTTGCGAAGGATGGTGTGGCAGCGTGGACAGCTTGTGATTTCTAAAAAATTAACTCTGCCGCTGTATCTCGTTTTCTTATTAAGTTAATATGTAAGAAATAGAAAAAAATATACCGTGTTTCTATCGAGTTTAGTATAAATCTACTAGCGTTCTATCACGAATGCTGTTCTCTGATTGGCTACGCTACTCACTGTCTATTCTGTTTTAGTATAAGTCTACTAGCGTTCTATCACGAATGCCGTTCTCTGATTGGCTACGCTACTCACTATCTATTCTGTTGTAGATAGTGAGTAGCGTAGCAGTGTGCCCTTGTTAACAAAATGACGGCCGCTTCTTGGCGTTTTCTAAGTGTCTGTGAAGAGGATTTAGATAAAGTTTTGAACGACCAGTAGATTTATACTAAAACAATTAAATTATTCGCCCTCAATTTCTATGCTTGATAGTTGACTCGGGCTGGGCGCGCCCTATTCAACTATCACGCGATAAAAATCTCGAGCTCATAATCTAATTGTTAAATAGAAACACGGCTTTAATCCAATCAGCGCGAGTACTTGCTTTGGGTTATTTTCAAAAAAGTTTTATTTTGTAAAAATACGGGATTTTCACCCCAAAAGGAAAAACGTCGCTAAAAAAATGATAACATTGTGTTATGTCTTCGCTTTTAAACGAATATCTTCATAGTAAGTAGATAAGTGAAGCTTACTTGTTTATTTATCAACAACTAAATTATACAAATGCTTGATAAATTATCTATCGGCTAGAACAATAATTAACATACATCATATACATAAATTTACATACTAATATAACGATCAGATATGCAGATCACCGAACATAAAACTAATCATTTTGGTGCTGTAGGCACATTTTATACAAGAACCAAGGAGTCTGGTCATATCTTTAGCACCACTTTCATCACAATTCATCAAAATCCCCCATGTTAGTGTCTTTACTAGAATTATTTACTTTATAACTTGCAGCAAAGCAGTGGATTACCGACTCAGACGCCGGTCCTCTTCGATATGCCTTCGGTGAACTCGTCGGCAAACATGTCTGCGAGACGTATCGAGCTCCGTCATCAGACCCAGAGACGCAAGAGATAGTGAGCCAAGGATCTGGTCCAAACAACATCCTACAACTGTGCGTCGTTGTCATCGACAAATTTGATTCGTTTGCCATAGCGACCGTCAATATCACCTCCAGCCCACCGGATGCCGCTGACCTGACGCCAGATGCACTAGACAACCTGTTCGACAGTGCCATTGGAGATAAGTTGCAGAGCGGAGACGCGGACGCGGCCACAAGCGCGTTGATCGCCATTACAGACACTGTTCTTGGATCTAATGACACCTCGGGTGAGTCGTGAGATAGGTTTGCTAAACCAAAATTGCTGCTGTCACAAAGCAGCCCCAACGTCCTCTAATCTGATAATGAGCTAGCCAATAGGAATTCAAGAAGGAAAAGACAACGGATCAAAACCGCATTTGATTAAATTACACGATTTGAATCCTGAAAAATACAGTGCGAATACAACTTAAGAGCGTTAAAATCGGCCTGTTAAAAACTGGAGGTCTAAATTGGGGGTTTGAAAACATAACAATCGCCGGTCATTATGGATTTGTGTTTGAGAAAATCTAGGGTAGGGAAATCACAGGATTACCGTCACGTCATCGTTTTCGAAAAGGTCTTCTTCAAAATGTTTTCCGTCCACACTAAAACACACAGCCGGCGTTTTCAAATTCTTCCGCCTTGTAGAGTGATTTTAAAAAACTCCGTTTTCGAGACAGATTAGTGTGGACGGTAGGCCTAATCACAGAAATAAAGCTACGGGCCTAAGTCACTGGTAATGACTTTATTTATGTGTCACAACTGAAACAAAGTCGAGAGTGAAGCCTTTCACAAATTGGGGACAAGTTTATCGTTCGCTGTCCATCTCATCCTAACCCCATCCAGCTGTCACTATTTTATTTTTGTTTTATATAAATAATCTCATTGGAGTTTTTCTTCTGCATGCAGGACATTTTGCTTGAGCTTTCCTCGATCTAACTCTTGTAAATCTCAATTTGCAGCTGAGTTGAAGGCTAACATCTCGCAAAAAGCGCAAGAAACTATTCTCAATATCCTGGGCTCGACAACGATCGATGGAGGTAGCGCTGCCCCGCTGTTAACGGCTATAGTTAAGACTGATGCGACAGCTGCGGAAAACAGGTAAACTATATGATACAAGCTTTGGTAATGCAAGCCCCGGTGGTTTCTCCCAAAAGAATTGGGTGGGGGTGTGTGACCCGCTACCCAAACCCCTTACCCAATTATGACCAAAATCTGCCATTTTCCCTGGCCTATTTATGACCTGACCAAAACTTCGATACGCTATTTAACAGCGTTGCAGCTGGCACAGTTGCCCTAAACACAATTTATGAAGGGCTTTTATTGATGGGCTTATCGATAATGATGGAAGTGTGGCTTCTGCTAAAAAATCATACTTAATTCAAGAATAGAGTGCAAAAATCATACACTATTTGTGACCAAAAAATGGCCAAAATCGATACTCTATTTAAAACCAAAACGGCTGAAAACCCATACCCTTTGGGGCTGCACATACCTATATAGCCCACATAAGGGAGTACCCCCAGGTTGCGAGCGTGGATCAAAGAAAAAAAATTGAGTCTCCGACTAGGGTTGCCCCCATTCGTCACCTTCCACATGCGTACTTAATTGCATAGTGATGCAAGTTTAAGGTTTCGTATATATTCATAGCTAAACTACGAGATAACCCTATTGTCTTTCCGAAAGTCGTAGCTACAATAAGCTCAAGTTTTCTTTCGTACACAACAAAGACAGCACGTTTATGCAACCAAGATGGTGACGCTGCGAAGACAACATCGGTGCTGGAAACGCTAACTTATATTCTACTAGATAATGTTATGTATCTCTTACTCGTTCTATTCAGCACATCTATCGGTGTTAGGTTCAACATGTTAAGATAGCGCTGAGTTCCAAATAGTCCACTTTCTCCCGACAAAACAAAACCATTAAACTTGGTCATTTCAGTATATTAGGGACCTTTAGATTGGATTACGAGTTCGAGATTGAGTACGAGCACGATTTTCGAATTTCAAACCAGTGACGTTTCTAGAGCCCTCGCTCTTCATGTTGGTTTTAGGTAGAGAGGGTAACTCATGGGATGAGATGGGTATGTGATTTGATGACGTGAAACCTGCAAACTAGGATTGAAAAGTCATATTCGTACTCAAATCTAAAGTCCCCTATTGTGTTGCACATGACGGCTACGATATGACTGAAATAATTTGTGAATAGCCATTGGTCTGCTAACACATTGTTTCGCGATGTTCTCGTTGCCTGCGTCTTCGAGGTTTGCGTTAACTCACTATTTTCATTCCTCCTGAAAAAACAAGCATTTCGTTTGCACTATAAAGAAAGTTGGAGGTGACAAGCGGCATACGTAGTTTTATCATCACGCTTGTCTGTCCGTCTGTCTCGCTGGCTCTCTTTCTTTCTCTCTGTCTGTTTGTCTGTCCGTCTTTTGTCCATTTGTCTATCTGTCATGTTTGACTATGGACCTCCCGGACGAACATTAGATCAAAAAGTTGGTTGGATACTCTTGAACTCTGCTTTAGGAAAATAACAATCCCTATCTCGATCATTAAGGCACTTTGTCGTTTTTTTTTTTGCTTTTTTTTCACTTCAGTTCTGGCATGGCGCAAGCGGCTGTAACGATTCTCAAGGGATTCGAGGACACACCGCTGACCAATGACAAGGCAGAGGACTTGATGGAATGGATGGGCGACCTTGCTGGCGAGTCTCTGCAAAACGATACCAGTTTGAAAGAGGTAAGGGTTTCCTTTAGAAAACCTAATGGCTGTACGTCACATTTCAGCCTTATTAGTTAATTTTCAACTTAATGAACTGCAGCGTAAATTTCTTTCCACTGTTGTAGAGCAATCATAGAGCCGCTTACAAATGGAGTAATAAATTGATCAGGCGGGCGACGAACTCGACAGAAAAAAGCTGTTGACTTTGGCAAGCTCGTGAAAATATATAGGGTGTTTAATTTTCCCTGAAAAAGAACGAGTTTTGAAACATCTTCGCCTATTAAAACGCCATTATGGCGGCACCTCGACTCACCAAAAGTCGAAGACACAACTTCAAGCAAGATCAATCTTCGTCCGACTAGCCGCTTGATTAGCTCTATACGCTTGTTCAAAGCGTGTCACCTTCGACTCCTGTCTAATGAACTTTACTGTTCAATCTGTACAGACCGTGAAGGAATTCTTTGACGCAATGGCGGATAACTTGGACGAAGGGCTTTACCTTGGGGATCCCCCTCGGGAAGTGTCCAGTGACGGTTTGGGTTCGATAAAGGTGCAGTACACCACCTTGGAAAGTACACTAGCCACCAGTAGCAAGGAAGGTGCATCAACACTTGACCCCGGCTCGTCGCTAACGGACCAGTTTAAGGGACCCAGAAAATGCGGACAAGGAAGAACTTGCAGTGGAGTGATTCTAGAGCTCATTCAATACGATAACAATTTGATTACAGAGAACGAAAACCAAAGGAATCATGACGTGGAAGTGGATGACTCGCAGGTATGGTATCTGTGTTTCCTACTTAGCACATTAGAGAGAAAAAAAAGAGACGTCTTAAGCGTCCAAGGGCATGTTCCCTTGGAATGATCTGGTTCAGGGCACTCGGATCATGGTGCATCGAAGAAGCCGATGAATTCTTGACCAGAGCAGATTCATCGATTCCTTTGACGTACCATAATTTGAGTGATGTTGGATCAGTGATCGTGATCCAGAGCCTATCACTAGAAGGAGACTTATTCTGGTTTCACAAGAATGATGCGGTCAGAAGCATTAGAAGCACCCATAGATAGGACGTTTGTCTATCTTATACCACCTGTCGGCATTCCTGCTACCATAACCCACCGCTGGTTGTTCCACGTTAATTAAAAGATAAAAACGCTATCAAACAAGATGAATAAACGTTGAGCTCAATTTATTCTAAGGTTGGCTTTAACTGGCTTTTATACCGACGGATGGTGGGGTGGAATGAGGTGGGGTACTTCGAAAGTCGATGCAATGAGCCCGTGTGGTTTAATCGAGTCCAAAACTTGCCTTAATTGATCATTTAGTTTTCTGCACGCAGTGCAGACCTCTAATGCCAGCGTCAATCGCAGCTTTCTTGAATCTCACGGAAAGAATTTGTCACATGACCCTTCCCCGTTGTTTCCACTTTACAGGTCATAGGAATTGAGCTCAAAGATCCAGTTACGAAGGAGCCGCTTGAAGTTACAGGCCTGTCAAATCCACTAAAAATCACGTTCAACAATGTTCCTCCTCCGCCGGACGGTAAGGAACTTGGCTGCAACTTCTTTGACACCCAAATAAAAGTTTGGGTAAAAACTGGTCTGACGGCGGTAGACAACGGAGACAACACGTTGGTTTGTGAATCATCACATGCAACATTCTTCGCTCCGTCGCATGATGTGGTGAACAACGCCAGTACCGCTGCCCCGACAACCCCTGCTGTGGAAGGTATGGATAGTTGTCTATGCGTCATCGAAGATCGCGCCCTAAGTAGAAGCCAGGACAAGTTATGAACGTCATAATTTGGATGTTTAATTGACTAGGCTCTGATAGTAAATCAGAAAACCCAAAAAGGATGTTCAAATTAATTACAGTAAAATGTAAAAGAGTGGGTGGGATTTATCTACTGTGAAACACGACAGAGCTCTCATGACCTCCCTATAAAATGTTCGGTCGTGCACATAGATCGAATTAGAATTTGGAGTGTTGGTTTTCCAAAGGGATGAAAACCGGAGCAAAAAAAAAAAAAAAANAAAAATATAATTAACTGGCTGATAACAAAAACATCAAAACTACCGAAACATCAACAATGAACGAGATAAAATAACACTTGGAGAAAAAGCTCTTCAGAGCAAACTAAATTGAAAAAAAAAAAAAAAAAAAAAAGAGCAGAGGCGAGAACCAACAAAACACTCGACACCATTACAACTTGGGGTCTAGTATTCGCACCCAGGTCACATTCATGGGAGGTGAGCGCTATCACCACTGCGCCGCCCGTGCTTTGACTAAAATCCGTTTCAACGGCTGTTTGCTCATTACATATTACTAATCTCCGATCTCAAGGAAAACATCTGGAAGTTTTTTTTTTTTTTTATCTCATACTGAAGACTGTAGCATGCAATTAACAATATAGGGGGAACAATCTTGCAACAATTTATTGATAACTTTTCACGAGTGAACGCGAGTATTTAAAAAAAAAATTGATCTGCAACCAGCGACCAAACGCAATCATCACTTAAATTATTTAATCTGAAGATCAATCTCGCCGGGCCAACACACGGGACAAATTGAGACTTCAGAAATCATAAGAGTAAACTGTTATATGTCCAAAAAGGCAATTAGGCCATTTCCGAGTTACCTCGTGCCGACCTCTGATTTAAAACGAGTCTTCGTGCAAAACCTTTCCTATGAAAATAAGTTTGACTCTGTATGAAAATGAATCCGTAGGCGCAACACATTTCCATATGAATGGTTTCGCACGAAGACATATTTTAAAACAGAGGCAAAAGACAACACAGAAATGGCCTAATACCCCTGCCCGAGCTCTGGCCCAGACCGCTCGCCGTGGAAGTTCAACATGTTGATTATCAAGACCTTCCAGGCTGTGTCCGCGGTTCTCGCAACGGTGAATTTTAACCACACCTTAATTCCATTTTTCCGCAGCAACGCCAACAGAAAAGGACGAAAAGGACATGACAGGAGCCATCGTAGGAGGTGTTATAGGCGGCCTTGTTTTGATCCTCGTTGTCGTTCTTGGTGTCTGGTACTGCACTACACAGAAGAAGAAGAAGTCAGGCAGGATCTCTCCAGAGGACCCTCTGGAGCCTGCACCAGTGGATTAAAGGAGTACATCACGGTTTTCGCATCTTGAAGAGTTTAGCCTAAATTTTTCAAGTTCGTCATTTGCAATCCGTGTCAATCTTCTCCATCCTTAACCATCCTTGTTCTTTTATGGTTTATTATTATCTCGTTGGCGTTTTGCAGTCTTAGTAAACTATTATGTTGAGGTAATTTTGCACGGCCAAAATAACTCAAAAACACCGTGGCTGAGCTCCTTTCTAAATATCGCGAGCGCGTGAACAGGGAGAGAAGGGCTGCTTGTACTGTTAATGCGAGTTTTTTAACAAAATCTTTGTAGTAAAGTTACAGTAAGATAGGATATCAAAAAGCATAGACTCTTAATAAATGGTGCCTAAATTTGAATAACAATACTTTATACAACCTAAGCCTCATGTTGATGTTTCCAGACAAAGGATTTTTCACACAGATGTGAGGCCTGGGCAGTGTAAGTGTTGTTATTCAAATATCGGCGCCATTTATGCAAATGCATTTTGGTTCGCCTGCACACGTCTTTGTTCCACTATGGCCAATCATATTACGTGCCTTGTACAAGTGACTTATTGGTAATGTCTAACCAAACATAGTCTTCCAAATTCTGACACGGGCGAGGCAAGTTCTGTCTTTAGTATCCTCTTCTCCTTTAGAGCGGATTTCAATTGAGCGTCCTCGTAAACCAAAACCAAACCCATTACTTACCAATTAGACTACTCACTCAATCTCAAACCGTAGTAAAACCAAAGCGATTGCCTAATTACTTTCGACACTCAATTCAAAACCGCCCTATACCAAAAACAAATCAGAGAAAAGATTTGATTTACCTAAATTTCAAAATTTAAGGTTAGTAAATGATACCCCTGGAAGCCTTCTCAGCAACGGAGAATTCCTATGTGCGAACAAAAAAAGAATTAAGCTACCTTAAGCTGATAGTTTACATAAGCCCTTGTTTCGCCAAGGATATTTATCCATAGAGACGCTATTATGGTCACCTGTTATTGTAACTGCGTTATATGAGGTTAGTTTTTTTGATGAACAAGCAAGTGTTAAGCGAATTATCTATCCACGTGCATGCTTAATGAGTGTTTGTCGCAATTCCATAAGGGGCCCTGCAGCATAGGTTGCGTGGCTAACTGTCTAAGTGGTACAGCAAATAAGATTATACCGAGTGTCGGCATGATAGTTTAATTCGTGTCTCTTAGACCTGTTGCTTGATAACGCGCAATCAATTTTTTCAAGTAATTTCACAATTAGGAAAAAGAAATATTTGTTTAAAATAATATGTTCGTACAATAGAAAAATGACAGAAGAATAGTATGGGGAAACTCAAGATTTACTGGGGTTGTATTTGCCAATTGACCCCCCGAGGGGGTACTCTGCAAAATTCAATACGTGCGGGGATGCTTCGCCCCAAGCTCCAACCCCTTATCCTTTTGTATACCACTTTGACAGAAAAAGTACCCCTTTTATATACCTGAAGCCTGAAAAAGGTACCCCTTTCGGGCGGAGCTTCCCCGTATAAGCCATTATAGGGGATGTCCCCGGGGAACTGACTCCTTTAAGGTATCTTCTCCTTCACTTTTATATAGAATTCCCCCTCTCCCAACCCCCTCTCCCCAAAATCAAAACTAGTCCAGCCCATTTTAGGGCTTCAGACCGTTGAAATACGTAACTTATAAGAACGCTAGCTGTGTATAGCATCAGGTGTAAGTATCACAAAATATGACAGCTGAAAATTTAAATATGGCATATGCACAATAATTAATGGTTTCCTACATCAGGACATCCATCTACCAAAACGCACCAGAGAACGTTTCCAGATAACTAAAGTAATTAACAACCGCTCTTAAACTATTACTACCTATAGTAATAAGTTAATTGCTTGAACAAAATATAGTCAGTTCAGTGAGATAAGATAAACCTGAAAGGATTGGATTGGTTGTGGGAAAGCTTCAGAATACTTCATAACTCAGCCTCTGTTTTATATAACTTTGCCCGTCTCACATGCACATGCTAGGCGTCCAGCGGTCATACTTCCGCCAGAGTTAAAAGCCTGATGTTTTCCAAAGTTTGTGGCTGGTGAGATTTGGCAGTGATAGTTTTGGCGGGAATTGCGCAGGCGCAATGCGTTTGCCTGCTGTGACGTGGCATAATAGTCAGATAGGACTATTGGCTGTGTTGACTGGAAATATCCTCCGTGTTTTAAGCAGTAATTTGAAGTTTTTACTGTTTGGCGATTGCTGGTTTGATGTGTGTTATAACAAAGAATTTTTTTCACTGATTTTCTTTGCTGATGTTGTGAGAAAAGGAATTGGAAGATTATAGATCGTGAAATTATTGATCTTGCAATGCAACCATTTTTCGTTCACCCCCATACAGATCTTTACAACAAACTGTTCACAATTCAGTCGCTTAGGGTGATTACACCTCGTGTGTTTTATATTAACACTGTAATAAGTTATTTAATGCTGTTTCGTGTGTTGTAAAAAAAATGAATAAAGTTGAGTAAAAACCAGTTAAACAGTTTATTTTTATTCCCAGTCAAATGCCATCAATTATTTTAGATGTGAAATTGCTCACAAAAGTCATACGCGACATACAAATTTGATGCGATGAACACTGTATTTCAGCATACTACCACTACATGGCATATATATATCTATATTTTTTGAAAAATAGGCTTGCACTCAACGAGAGTTAATTCTTTACTTGCTTAGCATGCGAGCATGCTCTACTGTTTTGATTTCTCAGTTAAGGTATGGGGGGAGGGGGGTTGGGGTTGTTTTAACCTCTCTTCTGGATTTTCGTTTTGTTTTAACACAAAGAAATAAATTTACATAGATTAGATAGCCCTGAGCTTGCTTTACAACGTGGTACTATTTTTGTTAATTATGGCGTCATGTGCTGTCAAATGACGTCATTTGACCCGCCAGCTTGGATTTCACTATTTTCTTACAAAGTCAAGAAATAACGGTAATTAATACAAAATCAAGCCAGGATGCTTAGAAATGTATAAAACGGCGGTTCCAAACGGCATTATTCTTTGTTTCGTCATTATTCGTGGGGAGGGAGGCGCGGTGGCCTCATGGTTAGTGCGCTCGGCTCCGGAGCGAGCGATCCGGGTTCGAGCCCTGACGGGGGACATTATGTTGTGTTCTTGGGCAATACACTTAACTCTCACGGTGCCTCTCTCCACCCAGGTGTATGCTGGGGGGTAACCTTGCGGGGGAGTAGAAATACTCCTAGTCGCTTCATGCTACTGAAACCGGGATAAACTCCGACCTGATGAGCCACTTGGCTTGTATGCAGAATTAACCTTACCTTTACCTATTGGCCCTGTTCTGTTTTTATTCTGCTTAAAAACCAAGTAGCATAATTTTGATGCGAGGAGCATAATTTAGAGAAACGAGCATAATTAATTCGGAGATGATTTCCAAACATTTTGAGCAGTGCTAGGAGCATAATATGCAAGTTTTACAAGTACAATCGACAAAAGCCTAGCACTATGACTAACATATCTTCACAGGGAGTACCTTGGGAATAAGGCCTGTATGGGGGAGAAACTCTTTTATCTTTCACCCTCTCTTGGCTATTTTTAATATAAACAGACTGTTTAAGAGCCTTTCTGTTTGTCAACCCAAAAATAAGAACGAGAAGAGCGAGCGCGGATCGCGGCGCGCGAGGAGATGAGGGCATGGAGTGCGCTCGAAAATGTCTTTCTTCCTGCACGCGACATCACATTGCGCTTCTACTTTCATTCTAACTACGTGGTCAGTCGCGATTCCTTTAGCGAGTTCAACTTCCAAGAAAAATAGGAAAAAGGAGAGGCTGTGAATAGTCTCATTTACATCGAAAATTGATTGTCTTGGATCACATATGTTTGCAATTAAACCCAAAATTTAGCTAATCGCGTCTATTGTACGGTCGCAGAGGATGGGTACGTACGTATGTGCCACGTGCAAAGGCGTTGAACTCGTGTTCTTTTGGCTGTGGTCTTTCCGTAGAACTTCGGTTCCCCCATCACGTTAATCACGAATATAAAAGGCTAAACCAAACTTGAGTCTAGGCAAGGCTGATTGACATTATGTTTGGAGTTCTGCGGTTTGTTTGCTGTTAGAATGACAGATTACCAGCTCATCAAATTAACTCCGAGCATGAAAAGTTAACTCTTATTGTCCAATGTCAGCAGGTGCCAAGCAGGTGGCCAACCAATTGATAAATATTGGTATACACCCCACGTGCAATAGGCCACAGGTAAATTTAGGATGCAAATTAGCATTGGACCCTGCCGTCACTCAATGTATCTTTTCATCGCTCGTTTTTAAAACAACAAGTGCAATTTCATTTTTTTTTTTAAACCGATGTTATTATCGCGAACATGAACCTTCTTCTTTGGTTAATACAATCTTTCCTTTTGTCCCTGGCCATATTCATTTTGCTCGGTGAAGAACTAGATTTCGACCATAAACAAGGAGGTCTACTGTGCGAGAGAGCGATTCCTGTGGCTGGTGAAACCGTACAGCAATACCCCTACATTTTACGGTGCTGCAAGTTGGAAAAGTTTTCAAAGTGGCAAATTCCATTTGGCCTACTTGCTGTCGGACAGACTAGTTTCGTGCTCGTGATTTTTAGTCTTCGACGCCACCGGAAATCTCCTGGGCTTCTTTTACCTGTTCTGTGTATCATCTTCTGGGTACTAACAGTAATTCTATTGTTAACGAAACTCGCCGCTCATTTCTCACCAGAGCATGAAACAGCTGCGAATGCTGGTTATATAGGTGTGCTTTGTACTTCCGTGTGGATTGTACTGACGGCCGTTTTAGCGGTTGGTTTTCAAAGGATATTTCACGTCGTTGGTAATTTAACCGCAAACTCCGATAATCGCGGGGATCTGAGAAGCGGAGTCTATTTCTGCTCGCCTGAAGAGGACAAAGTTCTGCGGGAGAGTATGAGTGCAAATATACCTTGCGCTCTAATAGCATTAATTGTAGCATACTTTGTTTCAAGTTGCTATACGCTTTGCCTTGTTCTAGCTCACGGCGAAGTTGAGCAAACTGAAGAAAAAGACGTAAAGCCAAAGAGAAACAAGAGATTACAAAGATGTCAAAAGCGCGGGGATTATGAGAACGATAGTTTTGACGCAGGAGGGGAGGGTGAGGTTCATCCCAAGACGACAGCAGATCTAGAGGTGACGCTTGCATCGCGGAGTTGTATCCGAGACTTCAACAAGAACACAGTTAGTGTGGGATCCGTGGAGGAAAGTGAAGATGAGTCGTTTGTGTTTGGTTGGCGACTGTGAAGATAGCATAATCTGCTCACTACATTGACTGTTTTCTTTATAATATTATGGGTGACAAATTGTTCCTTAGTTTTGGCGCTAAATTCTATTGTAAATTTATAATTTCACATGTGAAATTACAAAATTGCCATGGCAACGTTTGGCGCGAAATTCCTCTTTAGAAGTCAAAAGCCCACAATTGTAAGCGTTATTTGTCACCCACGATATTAAAAGGTACTCAAATGGTGACGAGTGAAACTAGGAAATAATCTCACGCGCGCATTGTCAACACTCTTACAATTTCCCGAGCCTTTACCCATATAAACAATAAGATAGTGCTCTGCTTGCATTGAAATGAAAACCTCTAAGATTTTAGAGTAGGAGGGAAAGAGATACATTGCCTAAATTTCAACTTTGCAGTATTCATCGCGACCAAGTTATGGAAAAACAATGTTATGAAAATTACAGAACTTGGTACGGGTCTGCCATATTGGTGTCACTTTGGAAAACCAACATGGCGGCCAAACAAGTCTGAGAGTAGAAAAACAGATTTTGTTCCCAACGGCAGGAATTTGGTTGTCATTTTTAATCCCAGAGGATTCAAACAGGCAAAAATGTTAATTGCTGAATTATGCTGTTACATTTCATATCGATTTGAAATGGATTGGCCAATTCCAGAACTTTCTCGCATTTATACACTAACTTTGAGAAACAACACTACCACTCTTCCATCTCCAAATTGATGTTTCAATACTGGTATCTAACGAAGGGCTCATTAATGAACAAGTTCATGCCATTTTCTTGGCATATAACCAGGTATGGCCTGTTAAAAACACCCTTAAGTGGTTTCAAGTCTCCTTTTCTTGTTTTCCATGAAAAACGTCTGAAGTGATTAAACATTAATTTGATAGCATTTGATCGAAAAAGATTTGCTAAAGCAAAGACACGCAAAAATTACTGAAAGATTTAATACTCGACGTTTCGGAGTCATCATGACGCCATCGTCAAGAGGAAATAAGTATTGAATTTCTTGTACTTATTTTCTCTTGACAATGGCGTTGTCTGCGAAACGTCAAGTAGTAAATCTTTAAGTAATTCTTGCTTGTTTTTCATAGCATTAACTGATAAATCAATAGTGGTTAGATTGATCCATGAAAGTACAGTCAGACCACACATACACCATGAACAGTGTTAACCTAAAATGACCACTTTACCAGCGTCGCGAATTCGTTAGGTTTATTCTCAGCTCTACGCTAATTACTTTCTGAACGTTCATTGCACGTATGAATGCTCTTCATTATACGTGCAGTTAGCTACTGTTTTAAACAAATTTCACGTGGCTTGCTTCACAAACGGTTCAAACTTTGCACTGAAATAACCGAGCAAGCGAGGAAAATGAAAGTAGAGTACTTCAGCAGCAAGAAATACAAAGAGTGAACTATACAGACGTTTATAACAAAAACTACTGAATTAAAGCCGAAGACGCGGCAATTTAAACAAAGAATTCTATTTTAACGGTCTGTCGATAAAAAACTATATCTTTACAAATAGCTATCTTAAAGGTGCTCTCTCTGTGAACTTTTTTTCAAGGCAGTGAGTTAAATATCGAAAATTGTTTTTCTTTTACTGAACATTGCAAATAGGAAATAACGTCTTCCGAACGGTAAACGCTGTTGAGGGACGACGAAAAAGGACCTACTCTTTAAGGAATCGCACAATGAAGAGAAAACGTGAACTAATTTGTTAACAATGATATTTGTATTCTTACAAAATTGGTTTTGTCTAACCAGCCACGCAAAACATCAGCATGATCGTATGCGATGTCGGCAGATCTTCGGATCACCCGAAGAGTTTTCGACTTTTGATAGCCAATCACAGAAAGACTTGTTGCTTAGCAACGAAAACACTTAACGCTGAGCAATTTTGACCGAACAAGCTTCTTGTCACCATACAAATAGCTGACTAGGGAAGAACTGAATTCTAGAGACGAATGTTTTCAGAAATAATTCTCGTCTGTAACACCTCGTTTCTGTCCAAATAAATTCTCGAAACTGCACAGCAATTCCTAACAAAACTGGGTAAATTAGCGAAATACATCACCATTTCAGGGCGCTTACAGCTAAAAACGTCTTTTTCCCCATAGTAACATAGCTATCGGTATACAATATTTAGAAGCAGGCTAAATAATTTTTGTATAATACACTGAATTCGACTTGGAACGACTCGTATCTCCCACTCCGCTCGACTCAGACTTCTCGCCTATGGAGCGGGTTGCACTGCAGCACGGGATACCAACGCTGTAAAATTTTCACAATTTTAATATGACGTTAAATGGTCACTCTGCCAACGACTGCAGACGTCAATTATCGTATCACATTGACGCTACAAACTTCCTCTGCTTCTTGGGACATTTCAACGCTGTTTACACGAAGCCAGATTGTCCCTTTGTCTTAAGAGATCATTACTTTCGCTTCGCACAGGTACAATGTCCATAACACACCATTTCTCGAGGCTGGGATGCAACTTGCACGGCGACAAAACAAGACTTAACAGGCGACTGATCGAAGTAAATCCTGCATCTTTCTCTGCCTCTCAGTTTTCGTCGGTCGAGAAAAGGTAGTCGCATTTTTCTATACACGTTTGAATGAACAAAATAAAGTACATCTGTGTCGACATCTCCAGGCGGATAAAATCCGGGCGGATGATGGTCGGGAATAAAACCAGAGACAAGTTCCTCGACTCCATGAGATTGTCCTTGGAATACTCCGTCACGCTGCAAGAAAATATGGCAAAAAGTGACTCTTGAATCCATCCCAGTACTGAAAAGTGACCAATCCCTAAATTCTCCCTATCCTTCACAACAAGAAATTCATGTTTACAATCATTGAAATGTAACATTTGGTTCTCTCGGAGGTAGCAACACTTTTTTGATTTACATTTCATATTACTATGGCAAATTTAAATCTATAAAATGAACGCCACTTTAAAAATTCACTTTAATTTACATCGTGATCGTTAATTTCTTGTCATGTGATTTATTCCGCAAAGTTCTAAAATCTGTGTAACGTATAAGAAATTTCAAAACTTTTAAAGCAGTTTTCTCTGTTTGGCACAAGCCATAGTTTTGCTTGCTTATTTGCTTATTTATGTATTTATGTGTTTATGTGTTTATGTGTTTATGTGTTTATGTGTTTATGTGTTTGTTTGTTTGTTTGTTTGTTTGTTTGTTTGAATAGTATGAATTTGCCGGTCAAATTTGAGTGCTATAAATGTGCAAAACTGTAACCTCGTATGCAGACATTAATTTTGACTTGGAAGTCTTAATCAGCCTCCTGTTAACACGTATTACAGAATGCTTCGTACCGGTTAAGATGAAACATGATTCGTTTGACAACAGCAAGGTTGTGTGGTGGTATGTCGTGTAGAAGCTGCTTTAATCGAGCTAAACGACTGTTGGCATCAACATGAACTGCAAAAGAACAAGAAAAACACGATACAATGTTGCCATCAGGGCCGAAGCTAGTGATAAGCGAGCCGAGGCACTAGCCTCGGTAAACATTTGGAATTATTTATTTAAAGTTACTGTAAAGAAAATACAATCAATATGAAAAAAGCGTTTTTTTCTTCTGATATTGCCTCAATAAGAAGTTTCATCTAGCTACGGGTTATGTTCAATTTAAATCAACGTCATGTCTGTCCGGCGCGAACCGACTGTCAAGAAAGTTGGCACAACCGCGCCAAGTTGACATAAAGGCGCGGGAAAATAGCATGCGCAGAGCTCGGTATCACAAAAAAAGACGGGAAAATATCCACTAAATAAAGAAGCGAGAGGCAAAAGCTGCATATGACTGGTGTGTGGCCGCAAAACAGTTCTATCTAGCACAAGAATGAGCTGTTCAGAGTCTCACACTAACTAAAGCTAACATTTTTCCATTTAACAACTTACTCATAGCATCTTGGAAGGCGTTTTGATACGATCCCGGAATTATTGGCTCGGGGAGAAGCTTCAGGAAGGACTTGAACGCGCCTGTCACCGCGTGGACTCCAACCCCCAGCTCGGCCAACTCCACTTGGGGATCTGGTAGACAAGAGGAAAATCTCGATTCATTTTTGAATCATTCAAACATTTTGTATAAACACAAAATGTGAATAACACTTGAAGAATACTCACTTTCTTCCACTTTCTGTTCGATAAGGCCAATATCTGCTTGATTGCCGTTGATTCTGTAAATTCCCTCTACTTGCATTCCTTTTACGTGAACACAAAACAAGAAAGAATGCAGTTGGTTCAGATTCAAGAAACACGCAAAGAGTGTTTAATTTTCAATCCCGAAAGAGAATGCTGTCTTTCTCGAAGAATTCTTGTTTTGGTTGATTCAAACATACCATATTTCATTCATACCGATTCAAGCGACTTTTGTGCCAGCTGAAAAATTTCTTCAATCAAATCAACAGAAAACGGTTTATGTTATGATAAAAATTGAAAACCCAAACCAACGCAAAACGGATGAAGGTTGCTCAGCTCAATGATACGTTTTGAATAAACTTTTCAGTTCTTGAGGGAATCCCAAAAGTTCTTACGTGACCACTAATCTCGCTAGGCTTAAAGTGATCCTATAGCTGGTTTTCACATGACGTCACTAAAATTCGAACTACAAAACTATTGATCTTCCTGAGATTTTACTTAAATGATGTATAAGA